AGGCGGCGGAAAGCGGCCCCGCTGGCGGTGAGTGTTGGGGGCTGGCGGCGGCGGCCTCCTCACGGCCTCGGTGGGGCCTGGTCGGGGCCCGGCGTTGAGGAGGGACGGTGGGGCGGGAGCTTGGCCGGTGCCGCGGGCAGGGGAGCCGGGTGCTCAGGGCCTGGGGACGGCGGTCATTGTCCCTCAGCGGGCCTATCCCCCACCCCGGCGGCCGGGAAGGAGTGGGCCGGGCAGGGCCCCAGGGGCTCCGCCGCGCCCACCGCGGGAGGCGGTGTGTGTGGAGGGGGGTGTGTGAGAGAGAGACGCCGCTTCCGTTCGTCGCGGTGACCGGGGAGGTGTCGGCCGGCGGCAGCGGGGACGGGAGGTCCGCGGGGATCCTGCGGGACCCACCTTATATCTACCAGTGCCTGGGGTGGCCTCCCGTCCGACCCCCGCCGCGTCTCTGCCCGTGTGTTCCGCGGGCCGGTGCGTGTGGCTCCCGCACTCGGCGGGGCCGGGGAGGGCCAGGGTGAGACGAGGGGTGCCGCGGGGCTGTCATCGCCGTGCCCCCGCCGTCCTGAGCCTTCCAGAAAACCCGCGTTGCTGTGGAGCCGCCGGGCAGAGCCGGGCCGGGGTGGCTGCCGGCCGTTCCTCTAAGGACAGCGTCTCTCTCGGAGGTGAGCAAGGCATGAACACCAGCAGCCCCTCTCCCGAGGAATTTGGGAACGGCTGCAGACAGATTTGCACCGGTTTGTCCGTTTAGAATAACTTTAAAACAGTACAGGTTTTGTTTAGCCATCACATCTTCATTTCGCTGCATCTTTGGTTTAGCTTTACCCTGAAAAATAGATTTTCAGGATCGAGGCAAACCAAAGCAAGATGAGTTGGTGCTGATTTGACCTAATCTGTGCTTTCTCACCTTTCTTCGACTGGTTTAATTGGTTATGCACAATTACCTGCATGCATCTGAAGGGGCGGTGATGTCTCAGGAGGAATCAGCGATAGCAGTCTCCTCGCTTGACTCGGCTCCATCCAGAACAGCAACACCTAATTTTTATTGCAGTTCTTAAATGCCTCCAAGTTACTTGTAAATATAGTTTAGGTTCCTGAATTGCAAGGGTTTAAAACAAAGGCTGCTTAAATTGCTGGGAGATTTTAATTACCTGCTTACCTGGTGTGTTTGTGGACCTCAAGGAAAAGTGAATCTTGTGTGAAAGTTTTGTTGGGTGTGGACGGCTGGAGGAAGAGCATGGAAGAGGATGCCAGGAAGGGAGGGGAAGGAGCATGCAAAAGGCATGGAAGGATCTCTGGTGACGGAAGCCACGTTGTGGCAGGCTGTGAGACACAGGGCTGGGCAGAGAGGGGCAGAGAACACGGATGACTAAGTCTTTCCCCTTGTTTTCATCTTTCCACTCTGAAGGAGTAATCAGAAGCCATGAGGATTTTTCTGGTGATTTTTTTTTTTTTTTTAATATTGGTGTTGATGAGGTGAGCTGAAATTAATTAACTTCCTTTAGAGGCACACCCTGTTATACTGATAAACAGCTGTCTGTCTTAATGACTGTCCATGCACTCCTCCACATCTGCCTTCAGCAAAATAACTGGTATTTCTGCCACCGCTTTTGTAAGAGTGATCAAACCAACTCTCCTTCCGCCTGCGCTCTGATGAGATGGGCTTGATTTCGGCGCAGTCTTGCCTTGTGGGTGTTCACCTGTCAGGAGGTAACGTAGGCTGGGTTGGTGTCGCAGCAAGCTGGCTAGCAGTGTGGTTGCACACAGTTAGGTCTGCTTTTCCTCTCAGGTGGCAGCAGGCGCTTGCAATCTATGAGGACGGGAGGAAATGTGTTGGGTGTCTTCCAGCGAGGGCTCATTTCTTCGGCGTGGCTGGGGAAGGCAGCCTGGACTTCCTGGCCTCCTGGCAGCACTGCTACATGGCATGGCCGATTCTGAATAAATAAGGGTGGGTTTTTTTGGTTTTTCTGGTGTTTTTGTGACTTAAGGTGAAAAAGCGAAGGTCTCCATTACAGTTTGTACACATCGGAAAGCTTTCAGTAGGAAGGAAGTTGTTGTGGTTTGTCTCTGGGACTCAGACAGGAGCGGATTTAACATGCTTCTGGCATCCCTGTAGAAACTGGTAGGTAGGCAGAAGCGGCTGGGGATGGTGCTGTGACATTTAAGGCTCTGCAATAGGTGGGTATTAAAGGCCTCTGATTCAGTGCATTACAGAAATGGCTTACTGATCTGTTTATGGGTTATGCTTTCTTTGTGTAAAAAAAAAAAGTGCTTATTTGAGAGTGAAATACCCAATTTATTATGTGATACAGATTTATCCTGCTAAGCCTTTCCAAGTTGGCATTGTAATCTGTTTTTCTGCAAAGGTGAGGCATCGCCTGCTAATTAGTGCCATTAAATGGGTTGGTTTTAAATGAGAGCACACTGAGCTTAAGTTACACGCTCAATAGATCTACACAGTTATTTTTATTCTTTTGCTCAAATACACGGGGACAGGGGAATACTTTCTGTGTACCCCTAGGAATTGCTTAAAATTTGTTTACTGGCCCATTAAGAAATACAGTATGTTCCAGCTAGGCCTGTACGTTCTGTAGTAGGTCTCCACGCTAGTGTGAGTGTAAGGGGGAACAATCATTTTTATATCTATAGCTATTTGTTCTGTGTAATGAGCAGAGGAGAGTGATGCCCACTTGCTGCCCCTGTGTGAGATGGTTGCCTCACTAGCATGAGACCTGGTTGTCTATTCATGGTCTTTGGGATATAACCTGTGTAAAAGCCTGCCTTCCCCAGCTTGTGCCAAAGCAAAAGGACAACGCTGAGGGGGAGGAGGACAAAAAGTTCTCTAAAGCCGCAGTGGCTGTGGTTTTGGGAGGCTGGAGGGGTGTTTCTAGTGCTGGGGAGGCCCTGTCTCTTGGCAGATGAGCAGGAGCATCGGTGCTTGCCGTGCTCCTTGGGTTGTGGCACATTTGAATCGTAGAATCATAGAATCATTCAGGTTGGAAGAGACCCTTGGGATCATCGAGTCCAACCATCCACCCTACTCTACATAGTCCTCCCCTACACCATATCCCTCAGTACCCCATCTAAATGTCCCTTAAACACATCCAGGGATGGTGACTCAACCACCTCCCTGGGCAGCCTATTCCAATGCCCGACCACTCTTTCTGTGAAAAATTCCTTCTTAATGTTCAGTCTAAACCTACCCTGTTGGAGCTTGAAGCCGTTCCCTCTTGTTCTGTCGTTAATTACCTGTGAGAAGAGACCAGCACCAACCTCTCTACAGTGTCCTTTCAAGTAGTTGTAGAGAGTGATGAGGTCTCCCCTCAGCCTCCTCTTCATCATACTAAACAGTCCCAGCTCCTTCAGCCGTTCTTCATATGATTTGTCTTCCAGGCCCTTCACGGCCCTTCCATTTGGCAGGGGTGCAGGCTCATGGTGCTGCCTACAGTTCCCAGCTGTGCTGTCACAACTGCCTGGGGAGATGCTGTGGACCAGATGAGGAAATCTGGTAAATATAGCACGGCAAGAAGGAAAAATGGGGAGGGTGTGTGTATGTGAAAGGAATAAGTGACCCTGTCATCTCCCTCATGGTGTTGGTGGTGAGAACTCAGGCTGAGGGTGGTGCCACCAGACCTGCTACAAAACATTTTGGAGACTCAAAGCATAACCCTGGAGATGTGGAAGGTGCTCTGAGAGTGAAGGAAGCTGAGGAGAAGAGATCTGTAATCAAAAAGTGAATTGAATATTGGAGAGCTGTGAGGAAGCAGAGGATGGAAATTTGCATCTGTCATTTGCATTGATCTATCACCTGCAGTGTTGACTAAAAGAGGGAATGGTTTAGAAATCCCTCAGCTGAGTTTCATTTGCCTCAGCTGGGGTGTATGTCCTTGACTTAAAGAGCTGTTCTAGCTCATAGTTTTCAAACCTGTCACATGTGTCCCGCCCTGAGGCGACGTGCCTTGAGTTAGGCGTCACCCCTCTGGGCCTGGCAGAGCTGTAACTCAGCTCCAGGCACCTCTTGGGTGCTGGGGCAGCCATGCTGGAGCATGGAGCAGGGTTGTGTTGCATGTTCCATGACATCCTTCCTCCAGCCGTGGCAGGACTTGGGATGGTGGATGAAGGTGCTGGTTGTGAGCTGTGGTTTTGAGTTTGAAGGTGTTTAGTAGAAAAACCAGGGGGAAATGGGTGCATGCATGGCCTAATGGAGCACTGGGAGCCTCTGCCTGTGGTGATGGTACCCGAGCCAGTTTGGGAAGCATTGGCTAAAGGAGATGTGAAGTCCTGCTGCAGGTTCAGAAATGTTCAGGCCAGTTTGCTGGGAGATATTTCTCCATTCTTTTGCTCTTTCCTGGGAATTTGCTGCTGGAGGTGATAAGATTTGCCTGGAAGCTGAATGGGCAGGAACATGCCAGACTTGTGTCCTGCCTGGACAGCATATGGGGTGGGAGCCATGTGGGACAGCCTTTGAATCAGCTACTTTAACTTACCTACTAGAAAATTTGCCATTTCTATACTTTTCACTTAAGGATAGGGTAGGTGGCTTCGTGTATTGCACGCTTCAAGATCTTTTCTTTTTTTTTTTTTTCCTCAAGTCTGGATTGCAGCTGAGCTTTTAATTTGATTGTATTTCTGTCAAATACTTGCCTGTCTTCGTGTTGAGACTCTCAATTCCTGGTTTCTCTTTCTTGACAGACACTGCACCAATACATGCTTCGGCGTGTCCCTCGCCGCTTCCAATTGATCCCCCGCCTAGAAGACAGTCGATGAAAAGCTTGCAGCTGCTCCTTATCTTTTGGGGCAGAGTGAGAGAATATTGAGCTAGGTAGTTTTAGCAGCCAGGGTCAGTGTCTGTCTGCCTCTCTGCTGTGTGACCCAACCTGTTGAAAGACTTGCTTATTCCTTCCTTCTCTAGAAGATTTGAGAGGCAGTGGCAAGGGTAGTTGGGCAATCCCTTACAAAGGGGTGAGGAGTAATGTCTCCCTTCGCCACAGGTGAAATGGCAATTGAAGAGCAGCTTCCTGATGGAAAGCACTACTGCTGTTGACCTGTCCTTTGCGTGTCCTGCATAGGATTTCTTCCATGATCTGTTGTATATGATAGAAGGCACCCAAAAGGCATGTAAAGCAGTCCATGTATTTATGGTCTGTTTACAGGAGAGTTAACTCCTTCTACTCGGTCTGTGCTCTATCTGCAAGGTTTTAGCTGTTTGGGGCTTGCTGTTGTGGAGGACTTTGCATTAGGAAGAGAGCTCCAGTTCCCCTCCGTTCAGCTAGATCATTGCAGTCATTTGTGATTTCTTGTACTTCATGCTGGAGAAAAATCAAGGAGACTGAAGATTTTTCTGTTCAGGAGAACAAGTTGTTAAAAATTTATAGCCTTTCGGAAAGAATGTGTGTTCAGGTTGACACACCCCATGGAATTTCTGGTCATTTTCAAGTTAATTCTCTTGAGATACTCCTTTCAGGTTTGTAGTGGATAGATACTACAAGAATTTTGTACTTGTCAAAGCACTGATCTCTCAAGGGTAGAATCAAAGGAGAGCCAGCAGCAGGCTTGAGGCTGTTTCCTCTGAGAGGCAAGTTGTCTGATTTCAATTCCAAAAGTCAAGGAAAAGAAAACAAAAGATGGGATTTCCATTAATATTTAAAAACTATCTACGCACAGTTACTTATAACTCCTCCAGTGAGTCACTTATTGTTGTAACACAACAAACGCAAGGAACACTATGAACCTAATAATATTGCTTCCTAGTTAAAAAAGTAGTTCTTCATGTTTTCATAGTGACAGTATCCCATAAAGTACAGCAGGAGCACTTGGTGAAATTCAGAACCCAAAGCATAGCAGGTCCTGGTACCTCTGCTCCAATGTGACCTGGCCTTTCAGAAGCACCTGGATGGCTGACTTGGGAGCCATAGGGTCTTCACTTGATTTGAGTAATTCTGCTGGAGGTAGGCTTGTCACCTGGGATCATCCTTTGGAAAGCTTGCTTTTGGTATGGAACCACGTTGCTGGTCTAGATGAGATGATTTAAGCTTGACTTTAGCAATGTGCTTAGAAACTCTGTATAAATTAATTTGTGATTCTGGTATTACACTGGGAATCTTGTATGGGGTGGAGTGTCTGCTGCCTTTGTATGCTGCATATTGCATCTTGACTCTTGCTGTGAGGAAATCATATTGCGTGGGTCATTTTTCAGGCAGCGAGTGAAACAAATGAATGCTTTTTTTCCACTAAACAAAAGGAGTGTCTACATTGGAAATTACACTAGTCTCTTTATCCTAAGGCAAGATCTAGAACATGCTGTCACAGTCCTTCTCATGCTTTTAGAACAATTGTTTAGCCAGTCTCGAAAGAATAAGGAATCTTTCATTTTGTATGTTCAGTTTCTAGCTTGATCGGTTTGCGATGAGAGATCCTGGCAGATCAGGTTCTGTATGATGGTTGGGTGGGATTTAATGGTACTTTTGTCTTTTTGGTGCTTACATACTCACTTGAAAATGAAGGATAAAGTTCAGAACTGAAGGGAAGATAAAAAGAAAGAATTTGAATGGCATGTAAAACTTTTTAAAGTTTGCAGGCAAAGAGGGTAGTAGTGAATCTTCCAAGCTTGTGGGACATGCACCTCTTTTTGAAATATATTGGTCAGGGAGTGTGTGTTTTGGTTCTGAAATACTGGTCAGTTTGGTAAGGTGTGTGTTTTTTATGGGTGAGAAATAGGAAAATACTTTAGTCACAATATTAATTTTCTTTGAAAAATTGAGTAATTGGAGCTCCAGTTGGCATTGGAGCATCATACTTAAAGTTGGCTAGTATGATCTTAGAGTTAGCAAAGGGCCTGAAGTTAATTCATCCTGTGCAGTCCTCGGATATATGCCTTTAGGGTCTAAGAGGCAATGCTAACTTCATATTTGAGAGTTCAGAGAACAGATATTCTATATTGTCTTTGGGGTATTTCAGGGTTGTTTGGGTTTTCTTGCTTCACTTTTCCTTGAAACACTTCTTACAACTTCTTGCCTTGTCACATGCAAAAACTCGTTGCAGAGTGAATTATGGTAAACAAGAGACTTCTGAGATTTTTAAAAAAAAAAAAATTCAAGAGAGTTTTTTCCAGAACTGTGCTGTTGCTATGTCTTGCAAATAGTTGTCTGGTTAGCTTATGGTGCAACTTAACGAGCAGGAAGTGAATGTTTCCAGAATCACTCTGAAGTGTAGTAGATGGCTTGTCTGACGTCCACCTGTGGTGGTAGGCAGCAGAAGTATGCTGTACCTTCTCCTCTAAGATACTGCTGGTTTAGTCATGATCTAATCATACAAGAAATCAGATAGAGCAAGGGATAATATTTTATTTGAATGGGGGGTAGGGGGGGTTATGAAACGATGGGTCAGGCATGTGGGTGCATACCTACTTTTCCAGGTTTCTTGTGTGCCTTAAAGGTTGCTGGTTTTTCTTCCCTTTCAATTTTAGTTGATCAAGTAAAAGATTTGAGCACTGGAAGTGTCACAAAGGCCATGCTTGACCAGTCCAGACAAGTTTTCTGTCTCCATGAGTGTCTGTGAGCAAATACTTGCAGAAAATACCAGAGCATGTATAGAGTCACATTGACCTGGGCGTATTCTTCCAGTTTGAAGTGACTGGTTGTTCATTAATTTCAGAGCTGTTGGTGGATCTGGTTTTGGATCTATTTATATTTCTGGCCTTTACAGCATTTTGTTATAGTTAGGAGCCGTAGACATGGGCATGTGGTCCAAATTCCAACTTTTAACTAGTTATTACCTGATAATTTCGCTCTGCTTTAATCCTTGTGTTTGCTAAATAATGAATAATCAGTTCCATTGCTGTTGACCGATTACATTACTGTTGAGTTTGTATGTCCTTTTATCACTTGTTTTCCAAGTTTCTAGTGTGTTTTGCAAAGAAGAGCAAGAAGGGTAGATTGCACTGATATTTTTCTCATTCTTCCATAGCTGTTATGAGAAGAGATGGCCAGAGCTACTTCCAGGATTCAGGAGCAGTTGTTTCTGTCATAGTGAATCCACTGTATATTTAAATGTGTGTCTAGGTCATAGGTGATTATCAAGTTCAGTACAAAAATGAAAAGTACGTGGTTTTATTTGGGTGAAGTGTGTGATGATATAACAGTTGAGACTTGATGGAGCAGTTAAAGCTTACAGGAGGCCTGTAACCACAGAAAAATATCAGTGTATATTACAAATTTGAAGCTCAGTATATATGATATCCAGAATGTAACTCAATGCAGAAACGTTTTTCTTTGTAGACTTGATTTTAAAGTTGGCTGTCTCTCCCCTCACTATCATGTATAGCATTCAGTGCATACTAACATACAACTTCTTTTCAATTGCTGCAGCTTGGTTGTGACATTAACATTTAAAAACAGAGCGAATAGACAGAATTAGAAAATAGAGGGGGGAAAAAAAGGGAGCAATGGTCAAATATTTAAACCTTTATAAAGAAATTAAGCCATGTTCTAAGATCAGCAATTAGGAAAAAAGTTACTTGCCTTAAAATGGGAATTAGAGGTAAAAGTAAGTCATCCTAAAAATATGCCTCACTCCAACCTTGAAGCACCAAATATTACACTTATTAAAAACAACTCTCCCTATTGTAATTTGTAGTGCAATTCTATTATCAGACTAGTAAATTGTATTGTTTTTACAGCTTCAAGAAACTCACATAAACACGTGAGAGAAGATGACAAGATCTAGATCGAGATCACCACGATGGAAACCAAGGTAAATATTTACCTGTAACTTGTGTTCTGAAATGTAGGTCTGAAATATAAGGATTTTTAATTCAGTCTTAAAACTTGCATAAGACAACAAAAATTGCATCCAGAGGTGCAATTCGTTAAGTGCATTCTATAAATTATAATTTGTTTTCCAAATGGAAAGGCTTCTGCAGTTTTTTTCCAACTCACAATTTTATTAATATGGATTTGTTTATCTGTTTTAAGATGGAGGTGTTAAGGTCTTGCTGTCTGCCAAGAACCTCGTTCAGCTTGCATGTTTTGGGACTTGGAACTACCTTAAGGACAAAATCCAACCAAACTAGTTAAGATTAATTTTACTCCAACACCATCTGGTGCACTTCATGTCTGTAGCTCGCTCCTGTTTTGCTTCTTGGTCTACGGGGAGGGCCAGGTTGACTCTTAAAAAACAACTTCTTAGTTCAAACACCTCAGGCTTTCTGAGCCTTTGGGGCTGACCTGCACATTGATCTTCAGCACAGTTAGATATGCCTTGCAGCATAAAGTGAACTGAAAACATGGGAGTTGGTGCCCTTCTCTTTGGCCACTAGCCTAGTAGTGTGTGTCATTCATTTATGTCACCAGAATAGCATCCAGGTTACTTCATGCTGTTAGTTACTTTTTTAATTTTCAGGAGGCAAGTGCAAAGATGAGGTGTTAAAACTAGTAGCTATTAGTGTGTAATATGAAATTACTTTGTTGCTGGGTTTGGGTTGCTTTTCTAAACAGACTAATTAACATGTGATGACCAAGGAATTCTGTTGGATAATACAGGCAAATGTGGTTTTTTTTTCCTTTGTTTTTAGAAAGAGAAAAACTATCTGTGTGTTCTCTTTCTATATTTGTGATAGTTGTGAATATGCCTTTTGACTGAAAGGCAGGGAGGAATGCCCCACCTCTCATTAAAATGCAAGCCTTAACCAGAACGACACAGGGAGGCAGCAGCAGGATGGATGCTATTGGAAGTTAGTGATTATATATGAAGATCTGTCGTTTTCAGTTCAAACTCATTTGCGGAAACGGAGCAAATAGTTATATCAGATTGTACATTTGCAATATGTGTACAAAGGAAGGGACTCCCTTGAATTTTTTCAACTTACATCCTTTAATAAGAACAGAAAAATGTATCAAGAGTGTACAGTAAATGCTTAAATTCAAGCAAACTGTTGTATCTGAGATTACTTTCTGGCTCTTGCTAGTGGCTTGTGTTTTGGTTTTTTTTTTTAAGGAGATTTGGGCTAAAAACTCCTAGCAGGTTGCTTTTGGTTTTGTAACTGTAGGTGAAAATGTAGAGTGATGCAATTGAGTGGAACTTAGCAATTGAATTTTGAATAGCAAAAGCTGCAATAAGTGTGGAAGTGCATAGGTATGCATGTATGTATGTGTACATACAATTACACAAAATGGTGACAACATCTTTCTCAAACTCAGTCTTCTCTGCAGGAAAAAGCCTACCTGTGTGACATTTTAAATAGGATATTTTAGCATTTTTTTCAGTCAGTTTTTTGGGTTGTTATGGCATGCAAAGGAAACATGAATTTTTTCTTTTTTCTCTTTTTTTGGCATTTCTGTATATGCTTTTTTCCTTCCCCTTTTTTCTCTTGGCACTGGAAAAGATAGGGAATATTTGAGAAGTGTGAATATGTGTCTAACAGTTGTTTTCAATGTAGTAGAAACTTCATATGTATGAAATTATTTTTACTCTTAAATGAAAAAATGCAAAGAGAAAAATGGTTGACTCACTGCTATTTTGAGTGGGTATTTCTACTATGAAAACGTTTAAGAGTCAAAGTAAGCTTGGTACTCTAGCCAGGCAAATGACATTTTGGATATCATGGCTTGTTTTTAATTTTTTTCTACCAGTTGATCAAAATGATGTACTAAACTGTAGTGCCCTTGGGGATAGATGTTCTCATTAAGAGGTTGATTCAATTTCATGGGACTACTCAAAGTGGTTTTTGTTTTTGCTTTAGGTCCTTATCTCCAGCATTTAGGAGTCCAGAGCATCATAGACAAAGACATGCTCATATTAATTATGACTGTGAATATAAAAGCTTTCGTAAGGACCCAAAGAAACCTATGCCTTGGAGAACAGAAGATGAGAAATATGGACAAAGCAATTCCAGGTTTGCACCTCATAGAAATAACCACCAGAGAATATATGAACGTAGGTCACCTTCACCAAACCTGAAAAGAATTCCCATGGAAGATTCTTACAGTCATAAGCCCTACAGAACACATTCATCTGAAAGAACTGAAAGCAATAGGAGATGCCAGTTACCACCAAAATACTTGGAAATACCATATAAAGAGCATGATCGTCCCTTTTACCAACACAAAATAGAAGATAGATACATGTTTGACCACTACAAAGTCACTGGAGATGAAAAAGGAATGAAACCTTTTCATAGACCGTTAGGGGCTCCATGTAAACTTGAAAGAAAATGGCATGAAGATGACTTGAGGCACCAGAGGTTACATGAAGAGAAGTATGGTCAGTCACCCAGAAGAGTTTCTGATGAATTTACGGCAAGGAGCTCTTTACAGAAGAGGTATAGGAATAAAATAATTAAAACCTGGGTATTGTGGTGTAAAGCCTCAAGTGAAAGTCTGTTTTCATTATAGTTGAAGAGATCCACCTTGAAACACGTTGGCCACTTTGTAGTTTAATTATGGGCGACTGGTAGTAGTGAAGTATTTGTCTTTTAAGTAAATCGTGTTGATGGCTAGAGTATGAAAGGATAATGTTTCCCTCTTAAGAGCCCCTGCACATCTGTACCTTGGCGTGAGGGATTATGGGTTAACTTGCCACGCATTCTGCTGTCCAACATTCTGCACATATAAGTTCTCGCTTTCTTCTCTAGTGCAAGTGTAAATTGCTTTATGTCAACACAGGTATCCTGAAGATCACGATTACAGAGAATATGGGCACACGTCTAAAAGGGCTAAAGAAATGGAGAGGTATGACGGTGGAGAAGTAGCAAGAAATTCCAAGTGGAAGCAAGAACGTTCTTTTCCACCCTACCAAGAAAAGGAGGAGCAAAGAAATCTGGGTGCCCTGTCCCACCGGTCGGCTGAAAGGGAGTACTCGGAGGGTTCTGTCACAAAGATAGCCTATGAGTACAGCCACAAACGGCGCAGGCATCTGGATGGGGAAAAGCCTTTTTCAGACGATAGAGCTCAGAAGTACATGAAGCAGGAAGACCAGAAATATGGTTCTTCTAAGGGTGCCCGGAATAGCAAAGAGTTAGATTACTTTAGCAGTGGAAGAACGAGACGGACTGAAGAAGGGCACGTTGAAGTACCTGTTAAATACAGTTCAAAGAAGGGCTGCGATGCTTGCGTTAACTCTGCCAAAACGGATGGTGATCTGAGATCTTTTAAAAACAAACCGAAGGAAAGAGTAAGGAAAGAAGGGGAATTCAGGAAAAAAGTAGATTCCTCCAATAGTCAGCATGATTCAAATCATACTGTTTCAGATGTGAAAATGTCAGATGTCAACTGTAGGAGGGAACATCTCACAATCAAAGTGGATATGAAGAAAATGGTGACCAAGTACAGGTATTGGTTTCCCCTCACCTCTTCTTCTTTTCTTTCTCTTTACAGTTTATGAATATTGGAGGAAAGCATAGTTTCTTTAAGAGGTAGCCAGGGCAAACTAAGGTTGTACCTTTTGAAATTTTATTTCATTTAGAATGTTAACTTGCTCAGACTGGAAACTCACAGCCTACCTCTATTAAAAAAACACACCAAAAAACTCCCTAGTAGTTAATTTCATGCAGATACAGTAGGAGGTGGAAAGAGCAGATATGCTTGACACAAACCTGCAGTTAAAAGTTGCTCATGGTAAGTACATGTGTTACTTTTAAATAAAAGCAAAACCAGAAAAGCCTAGTCCTGTGGTTTCTTCTTCAAACCGGGACAAATATGATGGCATTTTTTTTTACTGAGTCATCCCTCATTTCTTCTAAAAAAGAGATAACCTTTAAATTCCCTAAATCTCAGGCACACATTCAGATGTTCAAGCTCTCAAGTTCAATAAAGCTGTTGAAAAATTAGAGATCCCTGGGTTATGTTATTTATTGTTATAACAAATGAAGTGGCAATCTGTTGAGGCATAAGAACTGAAAAGCAGGAGAGTCTGCTTCTGTCTATCTTCTGTGTGATACTTGTGGTTGCCTTTAGCATTCCCAATGCCGCTGAATTGGAAAAAAGTGGTAATGTTATGAAAATCTGGATGATGGATACATGGTAGAGAGTAAGCAGCTTGGTTTATAAAGTTTTTTGCAGGTTTTTCTGGTACGTTGCCTTGCTGCTGCAGGCAAGAATGTTATATAATGTCAGTAATCCTTTTCGGAAGGGATTACATTCCCTTCCATAATGATCAACCTTCATTTTAAAGGTACTTTGCCTCTTGTCCCAAATAAATAAAACATCTGTATCATTTCTTTTTCCCTTTCCAATATTTCAGAAACATGTAATACAATGGAAAGTTACAAAGACAAGTTACTGTCTGCACATAAGGGGCTAATATTAAAGACTGAGGAAAGGGAAGTGGAGTAATGCCCCCCAACCCAAGCTAGGACAAGCATTTAACTTCCTGAATGATAATGTAAGGAAAATAACTTAATTATTGTTGGGCTTTGTCAAAAGCCCACAGAACAATTCCTGTATCTAGTAGCCTCTTGCTGGTGTTTTTGAAAGTCATGCACGATGGACATGGTAATTATTTGTAGACTGAAGGAACTGCTACATTGATTACAGCTAATTTAACATGTGGAAGGCTTGCTTCTGCAGCCCAAAGTGCTAAATGTTTTATTTTTTTTAAATGTGAGAACACTTAATTTTGCAGAAGCCGATGACTGGGAATATTCATGCTGCCTGCTTTAGGCATTTAACAAACACTTGACTTGAAATGACTCAGCTGAGAGGAATACTTTCTTTATAAACCTGCGGAGCAGGAAGATAATTCAAATTATCTACAATTGAGATTGTTCAGATTCCCTCTTCCATGCATTTATTTCTAGTTTACTGGGGGCAAATAGATGACTTCTGACACCTGCTAGAGGCTATTCCTGGTCCAATTTTTTGTATGAAATTCTAGTCTTGTGTGCTTCAGATACAGGATGGGGCGGCACATAATCACTTTGTAGAGTGCACAGTAAACAGAGTTTTTATCCTAAAAGCTTTTACATGGGCTGTTTGAGCCCTCAATTTATCTTTCCAAATGACAGGCATTTTCCTTGCAACAAGAACAGCCGGATTTTTAAAGTGTTATCTTCCTTGTCAAAATAACTCTTAAGCAGCAATGCCACCATTTGGGACGTAAACTTATTTAGAATGAGTAAAATTTGACAGAAAGATGCTAAACGCATTCTTAAGTTCACACACTGCCACTGGAAAGCTGTTTCACTGGGCTCAAGCGATAATCCAGTTTCCAAAGATGCAGTTTCCAAAGATTTTTACATCTCTGAACTGTTCTTGAAAATTGTCTGGTAGCACCTTATAAACAAAGACACACACATAGTTGCCTTCCAGAATTCTACTAAAGAAATAGATCTTCATTTGCCTGTTTATTTGATAATCTAGATAAATTAAGTTTAAAATTCACAAATTCTGTATTAATACTTCACTGAAACAAGGAATCCTGAGAGAGTAGTCTCTTTGTATTTTATTATAGATTTTCTTCCTCGTGACCTTATGAGTTCTTTAATTAAAAAAAGGAACAAAATGATATGGTGGTTTAATCACATTTATTCCTAAAAACTTCTTCATTTATTGTTTTGTTCTACTCTATTTGAAGTTTTTCCAGAGATAGAGAATAATTTTAAAGTGAGTATCTGCAAATTTTTATTCTAGGACTGCTTCTAGTCATACTACAGAAAGACAGATGTCACATGATCTGGTTGCTGTTGGCAGGAAAAATGAAAATTTTCATCCGGTGTTTGAGCACATGGAATCTGTAACACAAAATGTTGAAAACGACCCATCAAGAGAATTTACTCAGGAAATAATCACAATTATCCATCAAGTTAAAGGTGGCTGTAACATTTGGGGTATATGTATGTGTTTATGTAATTATTAAAACCAAATCTAATGAATTAGTTATGTTGTTCTTGTAAATCTCAGGTGTTTGCGTTTGGCTTCTTTTATATTTTGGCTTAATTCTATATTGATTTAAGGAAAATACAGGTTGAGGATTTTGAGTGGTTGGGTGGAGAATGATTGTAAGAAGGTCTCAGTGCATAAGAGAGGCATTATTGTGGAGTGTTAAGGTTGACAGGATTTTCTGATAGTAGTTAAGACTAACCTTCTTGTTTGGGAACAAGAGAAGGAAAAAAGGAGCTTTGCTTTAGTCACAACTTCCTAGGTGTACATAGTTCCTTTAATTTTTCAGATTAGTGGTTAGACTGCTGCATCATGTTCAATGTTGAGCTTTATAGATTGTAGTCATTTGAGTACTACCACGGTAGAGCTAACAGGTAGTTAACTTTCTATTAAGCTTAAGCTTTTTAAATAAGAAGGATGTCTAAATTGGGCTTGCCTAATCTCTCATTTCTGAATGTTAAACTGCAAGTGGAAATAGTTTGAAACTTAGTGTCAGAAGTTGTCTTGATGTCCTTAAGAATTAATCTTTTAAAAGATACAATTTCCCACTATTTCAATACTAACAGCGTTTCAAATACTACAAGTAAACATTCTTGTATTTAATCTCTCTTCACAGCAAATTATTTTACATCTTCTGACATAACCCTACATGAACGGTTCTCAAAAATTCAGGATAAACCTATTGCAAATATGAATGAAGTTAAAATACGCCTGGATCCAGAAATTCACAGGTAATTTATGTGCTATTTGCATTAAGGTTGTTAATCTTCAGTAGACTTTCCACAATATAAAGTGTTTTTTCACTGACTCTACCTGCCCACAGTCTGTAAAAAAAATTCTGCAGTTGGTCAATAATGCTTTTGCTATTTATAGTGATGGCACTTGTTTTTATGTAACATTTTTGTTTTCCAGGAGGATTGACATGTCTCTAGCAGAACTTCAGAACAAACGAACTATGCCATCTGAATCTCCCCAGGTATCTTGATTCCTTAACTTTTTTGGCAAATGGTGAGTTAAAATGATGTAGGTGTAAACAACATCTTCCCCTTGCTCTTGGTAAGTCACTTTTCATGCTTTGAAGACCACCAATTCTGATTATTTTGAAAGAAATGCACATTTGAGTATATTTACTGATACAACAACGATGCAAGTATACTGGGTTTGCTGATGAGTAAAATGCAGGTGTGTTCTCCAGAGTAGCTGGAGTGTGGTTATTCCTGCTGCTAGAACCCCTAGCTACCTTTAAATAGCGTAAATACTAACTAGGTAATTGACATGTGACTCTTACTCTTCCTCTGAGATTCGAAAAAGCCTTAATTTTCTTCCATCCTAATGCTAGAATGGCCCAACATCCACATAATTCCTCAAAATGCTATTTTATCTCATGCTTTCATCCCTTTCAGGGACATAATATTTTCTGTCTTTCCCTTTCGAGCTGTGTTTACTTGTGTTTTAGTTACCTTTTTTTTTCTGTAGCACAGGTATGTGGAGATTCAACTTGAGAGTAGTAGAATTTAAGATTTACTGGAATTCATGTGAATATTTTTGCTTTGGTAACTCCATGCAGAATTCCAGTGCTCTGTTCACTTTTCTTTGGGTGCTTGTAAAAAGGCAGATCCTTCAAGAAAGGATAATTGTTTGGGACTACCTTTTGTTACTGTTTTGGACTTTGGATCCTTGGGTTGATTTACATCTGTCCTACATGCAGGTAGTTAAACTACGTTAACAGGGTTATATAGGAGATGCAAGCCCTGAAGGACACAATCACATCAGTGTGTAGTTATAGTATTCAGTTTTTAACTTGACTTTACCTTGTCTTTAACCCTTTCTCTTAACTAGAACATTATGAGAGTGTTAGAAGATCCAAACGATCTACGGCACGATATAGAAAGGAGGAGAAAAGAGAGATTGAAGAATGAAGATGAGAGAGTGTTTCATGTAGACGGTGTAACTCCAAGGTAATTAGCAAACAGCAATCTTGTTGGCCCAAGCCTGTAGTTCCCTAATACAGTCATTTTTTGACTCTTCCACAGTTACAGTCGTGTTGTGATTCTTTTCCATGGTTTGTCCTTCTAAGTTTGACTCGGGCTGAAATTCAACTGACATGGATTGCAAACTACTCTGTAATGGAGTGTTGCCTTTAAAGAGGTGAAGCTGCAGTGGAGAAAAAAGTGAAAAGCAAGCTTAAACTGTAGCACTGAATGGGAAGAGAGGAAGAAATTAATCTAAAGATGCTTAACTATTGTTAAACTCCTTGATGTGCCATTATCTTGGTATTTTGTAGTTTAATAAAAGTGTTCTAGGATGAACACATTGTTGTGTTGCCCTGGTTGTTTTGTAACGTCATGTGGAATATCAACAAAGAATTGGAATTTTTCTGATTCTTGGAGAATTTTGCCAAGAAAAGCTAGATTTTTTTCTTTTTTAATAGCTTTACTGCTATGAATGCCACCAACAGGTTTGTTCAAGGTGTTTGCTAACCTTAGTCATACTCTTTCACTTTGGATGTCATGAGGTTGGTTGATTACAGAGAGACGACTTGACTTGTGTTAGAAGAAATATTGATTAAAGACTTGCTAGAGTGTAATGAAATGTATCTACATTGTAGTTATAATTTGCAGATAGGTCTTAGTACGCTGCTGTTTGTTCATTTTAATTACAGTCTGTAATGGCAAATAGTGGCAACGTGGACATTTGGGAAAACTGACTTGTGAAGCTGCAGAAGAAATACTTCTTGCATTTGAGATTCTTTAAACAAAAAAACTTTGTCACTGACAAGTGGAGGGGAAAAAATATATTAAAAATATATTGGACTGTTTTGTATAACCTTATGTACCTGGGCCTGTGTCTTTAGTGTATGTCTGGCCTGATTATCTGGGAAAGCTTTTATTTGCCACTTCCACAGTTAATGTCTTGTGTACCTTTTGTGTATGCCCCTCAAAGCAGGAAGCTCAAGTTTCTCCAGGAAGTGAGGCTATCCTGGAGTTCAACACAAGGAAGGGTTAGGCTGTCAGAGTAATGTGGACAATGTAATGTGGGCTGAGGGCAGTAATGGTATGAACAATAGGTAGAATTTTCCTGAAATAGGGTTTTTTTTAAATTGTTAGCATCTAAGATTGCTGGCAATTTTTATGAGCTAGTCCAGTGTGCCTCTATTTTTGCCTTAGTAATTTATGTTGAAACTATGAAAACTGTTTCTTTATGTTTCCTGAACTATGAATTTAGACTTTTGGTGTTTACTTTTCATGGTATATACTTTATTTAGAAGTTTATGAACAAATCTGTATTAGCAATGCACTCATTTAAAAAAAACACCAACAACCAACCAAACCAAAAAACCCAAGCAAGCCAAAGAGCAACGCCCTGCTTGCAGAGGATGAAACTGGAGCATCTAGCTATTTATCTGTGCTTCTGTCAGATTTGAGATTTCATGAAATTGAAAGTTTCTGTGCAGTTTTAAAGAGAATTCAGTGTAAAACTGCCCTTCTGCAGAAAGCATTTCAACCAGCAGAGGGCAGCAGCGACCAGCCATGCAGCCCTGGCGGGGGTGAGCCAGGGAGAATTGATTTGCGTGGTGAGCATTTCAAGGGGGCAGAGTATCTCTGTTAATTTGGCATTGCATAAGAAAATACAGCTTACTACATAATTCTGTGCAACTCGAGCTTGAGTTTAGTCAGAGGACTTGTAATTTGTCGAATGTCCTAGAAAAAAAACCTATTTAAAAAACATTACTTTGCACTTCTAAGTGATACAGATGCTAGACTTAGGTAATTTGAAATGTAGAGTTTTGATACGTTATGACCTTAGATTTTAATTGATCTCTCTCTCCCTCTCTCTCACATACACATCAGGAACCATCAAAGCTGCAATATTTCAAAATTACAAAACTCTCAACTTGATGGCTTCCCAAAGCCTATGAGGTTTATTAAGCCACCTTTCAGAAAATTTATTGGGAAACCTCACCTGGTAAGTCTAAACGTAGAACTAGTAGCTTCTGCATTTGTTGTTCTTATGTTTCTAATTAATTTTTTGCTGCATTGTTAAATTTACATCAGCGTAGACAATCTGTAAAATCTTGTCCTTTTAAATATCAAGTGAGGCTTTATTATCTTCAGGCCTTGCTCAACAATAAAAGTGCTCATAATTTCACACTTCTGCTGCTATGCTTTCTCAGATTTGTTGAAGCATAGATTAGCACAAGTGAGCTAAAGCCACTTTTATGACCAAATGCTGATACAAAAACAAATAAATTTGCTTTTCTATGCCTGTGCAGTACTCTGTAACAACTTTGCTACTGTTTTTTATAACCTAGCAGCGAGCTGACCAGGGATTTATTTTTTTCAGAAAGCTACTTTAGATCAGTATGTTAGATGAAATCAAAACATTTTTTTCAGCTAGTCTGGAAATAAACTGGTGAACTCTAGTTCTCTATTGAATAGCAGGAACAGGTCAAACTAAGATTTTTGAACTAAATTTTACATTCCAAATGACTTACTGAAATTAATTGATTAAGGGGGTTTATGAAATAAAAGCTCGCATTGCTTGTAGCTTTGTAAAAGAAATTTGTACCTAATATTCTATTTCTTCCACTTACTGATGTACTACCTAAACTATAATTTAGAAGGCCTTGTTATTAAACAGGAAACCTGAAGTGGAGGTGGAACAGTTTGAGAAAAAGAATATACCCCTGCATTCTAGCTGTCAGTGGTTGGAAGGGAAGGTCTGAATTTTGTTTTGTGTATGTGGCATTGTTACTAAAACAGTGCTTATCCTCATTATGATAAAAGTTCTGGAAAGCTCCTATTCTAAAAACAAAAATAAGGAACAAATCACAGAAATAATTAGAAATGTCTGAAATAATGTTCCTGAGGATAGAATATTATGCAATGGAATAGTTTATCTGTTTTGATATTGTGTTTATCAAAGCTAGTTTGGGCACTTACTCTTTCTTAGGTTGTCTTTCTGTGATGTACTTTAATACTGAAATGGGGAAGACAGTTATATTAGGTTCAGTAGAAATAAATTTGTCTCTTTTGGAATATTCCTTCTAAATAAGTGTAGTCTTATTTCCAAGTGTTTGTACTCGTTTAACTGGAGAACTGGTGAGACCAGTAAAGCTTTATTAATGTGTGCAACATAATTCTAAAACCTTTCACCCCCCCCTCCCCAGTGGGTGCAAAATAAGGAGGAGATTAATGTAAATTCTCATTCTTTATAAATTGTAATTAATGCCCTACGGACAGGGTTCCAAAAGACCATGAAACTTTTCTGATGTCCACCAAAACCAGCTTTTATTTAGTCAAAGTTCTGACTGTCAGTGAAATGTAGCTGCCTTGCAGATGTAACAGTGCATCTTTCAGTGTAAAAGAACACAAGTTTTTAAGGCTAAAACATATTACTTACTCAAGATTAAGATTGAAGTACCCAAAACCAAGCAGTAATTGCTCATTAAGTAATATAATTATTGCAAATAAAAAGGGAGTTAGTTTGAAATAGAAACTGAGCTGTTCTTAGGTGCGCTGAAGATTGTGTTTTGATATCTAATATCTCTACTCTGCCCTGATGAGGCTGCATCTGGAGCACTGGGTCCAGTTCTGGACTCACCAGATCAAGAAGGACAGGGAACTGCTGGAGAGGGTACAGCAGTGACAGGACAAGAGGTAACAGGCACAAACTTGAATGTAGGAAGTTCCATCTAAACATGCAGGAAAAACTTCTTTACTTTGAGGTGACAGAGCACTGGAACAGGCTGCTCAGGGAGGTGGTGGAGTCTCCATCTCCGTAGACATTCAGAACCCACTTGGACACGTTCCTGTGCAACCTGCTCTACTAGGTGGACCAGCTTTGGCAGGGAGGTTGGACTAGATGATCTCCAGAGGTCCCTTCCAACCCCATATCGTTCTGTGATTCTGTAATAGCGTACTGCAAGCGTGCAGTTTTTAGGAAGTTCTGCACTGCAGTGAGAAGTTATCCATTCAGAACAGCAGCAGCTGTGAAAGCATGGGTATTACAAAGGCAAGGCGTCCTAAGGAAGGAATGACTCTTCATGAAGTCATCCATGCAGGAGCTGGTTTGCAGACAAGTGGGAAAAATTTGCCATCCACATTTGTCAGTAAAAATGAATCAATGCTTACAAACTGGGCTTAAAGACATCTTGCAAATGTGTCTGCAGTACATTAATTGGCACTTCTTAATTGCATCTCCTCTTCTGTTTTTGTGTTTCTCTTCTTGCCTTTTGATTCTTATTCTGCTCCCCTTGTCTGTTTTCCTGTTTATCTAGTATGTCTAATGCTCAATATGTAAAGTAATGCAGAAAAAGGGTAATCTTTTCCTGGGCAGAAAAGATCAGTAATACAGCTAACTCCTATCTGAGGCAGTGCAAATAATTCAGCTGAATAAGCTAGCTCCAATTGCGTAGCACTTCCCATGACACATAGACACGTTGTGTGAGAATGCATGGTGCTCAAAATGGCTTTCCTTGAAGGAGATCTTCAGGACTGGGTGTGATAGGAGAAGAGCTGCTCCTGGTGGGCTGTAGTTCAGAGCTGATCTCCATGTCTGTGAGCTGCTGGCACTGCTTGAGTATTTGTTGTGGGAGTCAAGCGAAGTGGCATCCAAGCAGCCAACTGTAATATCAGCCACATGGATAATTTCTGTCTTGAGTAGGTTTTCTGTAATAAATTCAGAGCTGTGTGACTGTATTCGCTACTACTTTGTTTGGAAGTGTAGTGTTAGTAGAGTTGAAAGCAGCCTTAGAAAAACAAAAATGGATTAAGGTAAAAGCCATTTGTAGCCACTTTCTGCAAGAGTGCAAACATTTGGAATTTGCTGTTCAGAGAGTCTTGTATTGCAACAGTATGTTTAAAGTGTGAACGCTGCCTGGCACCTTGAAAAGTGTAAAGACCACAACTAAAAGGCAGCATTCAGGGAACAATGCATTGGATTTCAGTGGTTTGATGGGTCACCAGAACATCGATGCTGGGTGGACCACACCTTTTTAAAATAGGAAACATCCTAAAATGGAGGGTGTATTACTGGGGTACTGCAATACATGGAAAAAATGAGCAAGAGTTTGAAATGTAAGCAAGAGCTAAAATAATAGTTGTTGAATAAGAAAGTAATTTTCTGTGGTTTTGCTCAGTCTTATAGATTTCACTGAATTTTCACTGAATTTCTAGAGTTGGAAGGGACCATAGAGATCATCTAGTCCAACTCCCCTGCTGAAGCAGGATTGCCTAGAGCTAGAGCATGTTACTCAGGACTGCATCCAGGCGGGTTTTGAAAATCTCCAAAGAAGGGGACTCCACAACCTCCCTGGGCAGCCTGTTCCAGGGTTCCGTCACCCTCACCGTGAAGAAGTTTCTCCTCATATTTGAGTGGAACCTCTTATGTTCCAACTTGTGCCCGTTGCCCCTCGTCCTCTCGGTGGGAACCACTGAAAAGAGTCTGGCTCCCTACTCCTTGTGGGTAGGTATTGGTTCAGTTTCACAGGTTCACTGGTTTCACAGTCCAAGCAGAACTCTCCAGTTCTTGTGGGAAGCTGGTTTATGCTGCAGAAGTGATGTAGTTTTCTGTGGTTTTGCTCAGTCTTATAGATTCGTGGGTAGGTACTGGTTCAGTTTCACAGGTTCACTGGTTTCACAGTCCAAGCAGAACTCTCCAGTTCTTGTGGGAAGCTGGTTTATGCTGCAGAAGTGATGTAGCAATAGCACAGTGTATCAGCAAAATTGTACAAGTATGGGAAAACACACAAAAAAGTATGTAATAGACATCTGACCACATTTTAGGAGAGTTCCATCTGTAATATTAAAAGCAAACCCCTGGAAATCCAACCCAAAAACTCTAACCTTCAACACTCCTCTAATGTTTGTTTGCTCTAGTTTATAGGTAAATACTGAGAGAAAATTACATCAGAGCGCCAGGTTTCAAACAACAAGTATAACAGTGCCAAGGCTCAGAAAACATGGCAAAAATAACTTTAATAAAAGAGTATTTGACAGGAAAAACCACTGCAGCATCTTAAATTACAACACAGGATTAAAAATAAAAAAGATTGGATAAATATTTGCACGTTTTGATCTTTGTTAGTAAAATTCCATTGTGGTTTTTATTCCTGTTGCTTAAGGAGCTGTGTGTATCAGCATCAGTAAAAGATGGATGCTTGTAAACTGAAAGCCTCACCAGTAGATCATATCTGATTCTAGGACGTTGCCTAATGTGGAAACAGATAATGTGTTGATCATATTAAAATGCTCTTACGGTAAACTATCAAAATGTGATATTACCACCTCTTTTTGCTGTCTTGTTAAGGTGACAATATTAGTCATTTGGGTTAAAATTAAACATGGAAATGGTAATTGATACTTTTGGTAAGCCATGATTAACCAATATGAACTCCACAGTGCAAGCTATGAGCATTTGCTACAGCAGGCCAGTAAATGGGAGTGTCTCGTGTATTAATGTTCAGTGATTGTAGCTTGAGCTTGAAAAGTTGAGAAGAATTTGTGCCTTGAAGGTGCATCTAGCAGGTCTATCTAGCCCTGATTGTATGAAATGTCCATCTAGTCTTATATCCCACTGACAAAAAGAGCATAGCTGAAGGATAAAAGATCAGAACAAGTATCTATTTATACTTCCCCATTATTTTTCTTTTTTTCATTTAAAGCCTACGGTTTAGGAAACTCTTGAAGAGTAGATTGCTGTATCTGTGGATGAAGCAGTTCTAATGGTTTTGTTTCCATGAATGTATTTGAATCTTGAGGGAGGTGAAGATGGGGAGGGATGTATCCACAGTTAGTTGAGACAAGCTTTCTTTTACTTCCCAAAGGTTTCTTTTTTTATTCTAACAGGAAATTTTCTTGAATTTTTTTTTTTCATCTTTCTGAATTCTCAGCTTTAAGAGGAGTGTACTTCAACAGGGAGCTTCCTGATTTAATTACGTGTTGTATGGAGGGAGTTAATTTGATTTCATGAAGTATCTTCATATTCTTAGAACAAGAAGGGAGCTGGGAAGTTCCAGACATGCTTTTCCACCTGTGTATTTAATTTTCCATGCCTTTTTTCTTGGAAAAGCCATTTTGACTACTTCAATCTCACTTCTTAAAGTCTTTCTTCCTCTCTTTTTGTTCTCTGCTGAATCGCCTTTTGTCAAGGCATTTTAAGAAGTTAAATAATTGACTTGTAGGCAATAATATATTCTCAAAATAATAATAATAAGCTAGCTTAAATCCCAGTTAAAAGATAACTTGGATTCTAACAGTGTTCTGTTGTGCTTCACCTTCAAATTCATAGCAGTGTAGGAAAGCGTATCCTAAAGTGTTTCTGCAACTGGCAACATTTGGTTCAAGAACAGAAATTTTGTAAACAACAAAGCATGCGTTTTTATTTATTGTTTTATGTCAGTATATATGAAATATTTCATGTGAGTCCTCTTGTTAGGCTCTTCTTGAAACGTATTTGAAGCTGTTAAAATTTCCTTTGAAAGAACTGAGTTCAACAGCATTGGAACACTTTTGTGATTATACAAGAGTGGACCATAAAAAAAAAAAGAAATAATTTGATTGCTAAGAGTTCATTAGGAAGTCCATTCTGTAAATATTTCCAACTGTATGCAATGATGGAAAAGAATAATATTGTAGCTGTTTGCATCCTGTTAAAGTAGCTGTTATAAGAAAAGTTGGAAAAAGGCCAAAATACCAAGGTAGGACAGTGCTGGAGGGAGTGCTCTATTTTATGCAAACCATGGCTGTTTGACTGCAGCTGGTCAGTGTGATACACAATAATTTCAGTACTACTTGTCTACCAATGGCTTTTGAAATCACATGTGTTCGTGGCAAGCAAGCCATCTTCAAAATGCTTTTGTGATACAGAGTTAAAAGTAGAATCTTCTGAGGACCAACATAATGTGCTATACGTTTGTTGTCTGGTTACTGCGGTGGTGTGTATAGTAACAGTATGTGTGTCTTCTCCTCTAAAATGTGCTAATCTGTGATGACCATATGCTAACCAGGGATGTCCAGAGTACTAATCTTGTTGTCCTTGTTCCTAACTCAAGGGATGACTGCTATAGCAGCCTGTCTGCTACACTTGCTGCATGCAAATTGAGGCATCTGTTCTCCGGGGGGCAGGGGTGGAGAATCTTAATTGGGTTGTTACCTGCTGAGATCTCTCCAAGAAGATGATATTCTGGTAGGATGGTCTGTATCATCTGTTTTTATGGGCTCTGCTATCACTTCAGCCAGCCTGGACTCCAGGCCCTACGCTCCTGTCACTCTGGTTCCTTCCAACAGTCTCCTTGTCTCAAACGCTAGGAGATTGAAAGAGTTGCAGTAGTTGTTAGTATAAACTGGAAATTTTGTATATTTTCTTGAATAATTTAGTAACAATAAGTTAATGTTTTCCTGTTTTCCTATTAGAATTCTTACTATTCTTCAAAACCAAGTGATACTTACCCTCAGAGACGCATTAGAGGACACCTTGAAAATGCAGGACCCGTCAGAAGACACTTTAAGGTACAGATCAGCTTTTGCCAGATGTACGTTATGATTATTCAGTCCTACTGAGTTCAGTAACAGGAGACACGTTTTTTTAAGGTATTAAGTGCCATGAAAAATAGTGTCATCGTGGCCCGATTTTTTCCATTGAAATAATGGAAGTCTTAGGTTTTAGTAGGTAAGAGGGCTGGCAGTGGATTGAGCAGGGTTGTACAGTATCGTATCCATGCAGGTGAAATAAATTAACTGTGAAGTTGAGAATGACAGTTGTAGAAATTGGACAATGAAAACTCATCTATCCAAAAAACAGACTTGGTCAGCTTACTTTCCTTTACCTGATGCATGCGGAAGCCTGAACTATTTCCCAAGACTGGGAGAAATTAATTGTATTGCTTTCAAAATTGTATTACTGTTATTTTATTAACCCTTTTGTATAATGATTTCTGGGGAACTAATCTCTTGTGTATACCCTGCATACAGCTATCTGTGCATTTAAAAAAAAAAAAAATAAAAAATTTAACATCTTGAAGCTTTATTTTCAGGGCCTCAAGATGGTAAAGGGGTTGGCAACTGTGCTTCCTGAGGTAGTGCAGTGGCTTTCTAATGCCTTTTGATTGTAAAATATATCGTGTGTTCAGCAGAAAAACAAAAACCACTTTTTAACTTTTCTGCTGACACTGGCATGCTATGCATGGGTCCAGTTAAAGCTCTTTATATTAGAAAAGTATTAATCAAATCGAGAACACCTTACACTCATTTTCTATCTTAAAATTACCCCTATTTATTTAACAGGTGTGTTCTCAAGAGTAAAATAACACACAGAGTAGGTAATTATCTTTCTTGTTTTGTAGAGTGAAGCTGAAGTAAAGTTTTGATGGCTAAGTTAAGTACCTGGCATTTTTGGGTGATGTTTTGAAAGGGGGGCAGTATAGGTGTGGAATTTTTTGTTTGGTGTTTGGTTCAGGCTCTCCCATTTAGGTGTGCTTTGCTATTCTGAGACTGTTAGATAGCTAAGCTAACAGCAGCAACAAATGCTAATGTCATTCTGCTGAAAGGAAGAAAAAGAAAAAAAAAACTTTCCTAGTTTGTGTCAGCCTGATATAACTATTTTAACATGTAAGGACCTCATAGCCTCTTAATTGGTATCCCTTTTATATTATCAACCTATAGGGGATGGGGGATCTTTAGCCCTGGCTGCCATGTCATTGAGGCAGTGTTGGTATATGATGTAATAAAAAGGAAATGGAAGGCTGCCTTCATTTACATCTGCCTACTCTTCTGGAAATAACGCAAGCTTGAAAGTGTCCACTTCAGTTGTCATCGTACATATATATGAATGTTGCCTGAGTATTGCTGTTTCCAATGATCTGTCTCATGGTGCTTCAATATTTGTAGGGAAAATAGCATATGTACTTGTATTGCAGTTTGCATATGTGTATAACACATTTAATACTGCCATGGAAACAGCAGTGCTGATTTGACTTAATTTTGTCAACTTTTTTTACATTCCCCCTGCGTAACATAGAGGGGTTTTCCTTCCCGTGCTGTTGCTGAAACCTGCTTAGAAGGTGATTTGATTATATTCTATACTCAGCAGACTTCCTTGACTGAATAATTAAAAAAAACCCCGAAACCCAAATGTACAAAGAAATAAAATAAAACTACTGAAAAACCCATACATGCACATAATCCCATTCCTGCCGTTCTGTGCCCCCTCCCCCCTGATAAAAGTCCAAAGCCCACCACGCTTCTTGGTATATAAAATGGGGGCATTTTAACTTAACATACACTAAATAAATCTTTTTTTTTTTTCTTATTAACATACTGCAAGACCATATGTGGGGTTTTTTTAACTTTTTGGAAAAAAAATAAGGTATTTTTTAACAGCAGTTTTATAAAAGTTCTGGAGAAATCTTATAAAATTTAAAAGGTCTTTCTTGTAATGATGTTTTGCAATGAATTGCTAAGCCAACCTTCAAGTGGATGCATGCATGGTAATCTTTAGAACTTAATTTCATTCATAGTTTAACACCGTTCAGTGTATTTGTGGCTGTGGTGGGGTAACCCCCAGCCAGCAGCTAAGTACCACACAGCTGCTTGCCCACTGTCCCCTCAGCTCCCCTCCTCCCCCAGCAGGATGGGGGAGAGAATATGGAGAGCAAAAGTGAGAAAACTCATGGGTTGAGATAAAGACAGTTTAAGTGAAGGAAAGAGGAAGAAAGAAAAGATGCAGTGGCAGTTGGTCACCACCTTCCAGAAGCTGACTGATGCCCAGCTGGTCCCCAAGCAATGGCTACCTTCCTCCAAAGCCCCATCCTCCCAGTTTCTGTTGCTGAGCCAGTTTTGGAGATTATATGGTGTGGAATAGCTCTTTCCTCAGCTTGTGTCAGCTGTCCTGGCTGCCTCCCCTCCCATCTTCTTGCCCACTCGTGTCCTACTTGCTGAGTAGGGGAAGATGAGAAGGCCTTGCTGCTGTGTGGGTAGAGCTCAGCAATGCCCAAAACATTGGGGAGTTACCAGTGCTGTTTTAGTCACAAATCCAAAACGTGGCACCAGCTGTGAAGAAACTAGCTGCATCCCAGCCAGACCCAGTGCAGTGGCATATATTTCTCATATAGACTTATTTTGGAGTACCATTGGAGGTACCATTGCATTGGTTCACAGGCATTGTCATTAATATTATTTGTAAAATAGTCATAATAGACGTCATTTAGCAGATTTTTTTTTCTTGTTCTAGACCAGATGTTAGTGATGTTTTTAACACAAATTAGATTACTTCACTTTGCTCTAAGCTATGTGTGACTGCAGTGTCTACATACCAAATGTATATATAATCTGTTCATTTGGTCTACAGCTGATTCTGTTCTACATTAATAATACTGCTGCTCCCCTCCCTCCTCACTTACAGAACACGTAGATACTTGAGTTCACACTTTTCAAGTGTGTGTAATCTCACTTTTGATATCTTGTGCCTTTTCCCCCTCTCTTATTTGGTCTGCTGCTTTGCTTATTGTCATGCAAATGCGGTGGCAGACCACTGAGGCCTCATCCTTTCTAGCTACTTCAGTCAAAGCAGAAAAATCACAGCAGCTGTGGGGGAAATGGGAACTTGTAACTGTGCCCTTCAGTCTTCCCTATGACAGACATATGCCTACTTAGAGAATTTACTTGCACTTTGTTGTATTGTGCCTGGACTCTGATACTTTTCAGGAACAGGCTTAGCATTTAATAGCCTTCTGGAAGTGTCCTCTGCCTACAAAGCACTGTAAGAGTAACCCTGGGGGGCTGATGGGGCCAGCTTCTCAGTTATCTTCTACTTAGCATGTGGGTGAAATGATTTGGGAAATCACAAACCCTCTGCATTTGCATAAAGAAACCTTAGTTCTGTACAGTCCTTTCTTAGCTGTTCACCAGCCATGCAGTGGAAAACACAGTGGAAAAACTGGTACCAAACTTACTGCAACCTCAGAGCATGTGCTTGTTTTTTCTTGAAGTGATCCTTACTCTGTCAAAAGGAGACTGATTTCATCAAAGTAATTGGGTCATGCTCAAGAAGGTCTATTTCTGTGATATGTTTTGTTCTTTCCTACCCTTTAAAGGTGTTTATAAAAGAATTTTATATGGTCAGGATGTTTCGTCTTTTTGGCTGGGAAGCCATTGTTTGTTTAAATTTAGGGGAGGGGAAACCTTTACATTTAAAGGATGAATATATACAGGAATGCTTTCTAAAGAGACCACGTTGGAAAACATAAAATGGCAGTACTGAAAAACTATGAGAAATTATGATAAACAGGGTTTTTCTTACTGCCTATTTTGTTGGAGGTCCAAGTGCTTAGGAATGAAAACCATCTTTTATAACCTTAACTACTGTGGCCAGCATTGATCTTGCTATATTCTTTCTGTGTATTTATAATGCTGTTCACCTGTACAGCTTTTGTTATCTCTGTGGCCTCTGCTCCTGGTCCCACACTAGGTTGGGTTACAGTATTCCAGTCTGGAGGTGACCAAGACATAGAGCAATGAATGTATGTTCAGATCGTAAGATCTTAAAACTATAGGAGAAAAAAACCCATATACACTGACTTCTGTTTAGTATGACTTTTTGACTTGCCATGTTTGCCCACTGCAGGCCTGACCGCTGAATTTGTTAGCAATAGTGAGGTGTTGTCTTAAACCAGCAGCATCAACAAAAAAGTTTACTTTCATTAAGGTTTAAAAAAGTGTTTAAATGTACAATACATTTACTTTTTTTCTATGAGGAAGGTAATTTCAGATCTTTTTAAAAGTACAATACGGCAGTTCTTTGGGCCATGTGGTGTCTAGTGGTCTGAGAAATTATTAAATTGGAATTATTATGGGGAAATTATTAAATTGGAAATGAGGGAAGAGACTCTGCACTTGCAAATGCACGCTTCTGTTGTCCAGTACTATAAGCTGTACATGTGTATAACTAAATATAAACTATTGAGTTTTGATGCCCTCATTTTACATATTTTCTTTTTTCCCTCCCTCCCCCTACCCTTACAGAGCAACTTTGTGGATGGCCGTTTGCAATCCCATTATAAATCAGGCTTAGTACAGAAGGGTTTATATATTCAGGCTAAGTACCAGCGGTTACGTTCTGTTGGTGTAAGGGGATTTACCACTAATAAATTCAGAGATGGATTTTTGAGGAAAGAAAAGGTAAGTTGGCTTAACTTATTTTTCACTAAGTCATTTATAAAATATGAATATTCTTATGATCCATTCCAATTTTTAAATACCCATGGAATAACTTGGATGGGATTTTCTGGAATATTGGCTCTTTGTACTTTACAGGCAAACGTGATTCCGGACTCCTATTTCTTCCATGTGTATTCCATAGAAACTTGCTGAAACATACTTTGGGTAATTGCAGATCAGAGGTGGCCTCTGAGATTCTGCAGTTGCCTCTGTTTCAGTGTTCTCTCCTTGAACTCAGTTGATCTCTCTTCCTATTGATAGGAAGGGGAAGTGGCCTTCTTTTAAAAAAAAAAAAATATATTATGGTAGGTTATGGTTTTAAATCAGTGTGAAGGGTATTAATTTTTTTTACTGCATCTGTGTGTTTGTCCTTTTTGTTTATGATACCTTAAATTAATCATGTGCTTTAAAGTACACACTGGAGTGCTGTTCTGAATAAAGCGTTCTGTACTATATATTGACTGTGTAAAATGGTTTCATAAGATCAAGCTGAAATAATTGGGCATATCTGTTTTATGATACCTTTTGATGGTGTGCAAGGGACAGCAATAATCTTGAACTGCAGAAGAACTTGTGAACCATGTAAAATGTTGCAGCTTTTGTTCGGATCAGTAGTTAAAACATTCTAAACCCTTTCTTAGAATTGATCAAGTATGATCAAAGTAGCATAAGGTTACTCATGACATCAGAGAATAGGATTAGATGACCTACACAGCCCCTTGCAGTCCTGTGTTCCTATGCGAATTCTTGTTTGTTTTGTAATTCTGTGTCCACCTAGCTACAAGTAAACACACTTGCATAAGCATTTGTAGTGGGATTAGAGTTCAGTTCTTAGAGCACAGAAGCATAGGTTCTTAGAGCTATTCTCAAAAAACCCTCAAGTTTACAGCCGGGGGGTGGGGGAAGGGAAGCAAAACACAAAACCCCACCAAAACACAAAAACCCCAGATGAAAAAAACCAAGAACCATACCCTTGAGTAAACTGGTCACTTTGTTGCTGAAGTACACAAGTGAATGCCTTATTTTTGCATAGACTATGCATTTGCATAGACTCTGAGATGTATGATCTCTGAAAGCTAAATTGAATAGGAATTATTGGAAAATAGATGGAGAAGGATTTATTCCAAAAAATGTGACCTTGTAAAATGGGCATAGAAGTGCCATCATTTTGTTGTAGTGAGCTTTTTCTCAATTTCCAATGCGCTTCTATAAGTGCATATTAAGGTTCTTGTCTGGGACCTATAAAGCATGCTGAACACAGTCTGGCTGCTGGAGATCATGATTTGAATTAGAGAAGCATAATAAGATCTGAATATTGATTAATTTTTTTTGGCTCTATGAAGGACTGGAGTATCCTCTGAGTTAAAGTAAAATAAATCCTGAAGAGTAACTATGACAGCTGTTTTCTTAACAGCATACTGATTGCTGGTTGGCTAATTCTTAAAAACCAAAACTGTTCTTCAGATTCTAGCATTTCCCATATGTTGCCTATTGTAAGGATTAAACTTGTCCTTGAGGTTTGTTAAACTAGTCTGAACGTCTTTATTTCACCCTTTTGAAGTAATTATGCACACGCATCCTTTGAGGTATCAGCTTTACAGTTGTGCTGTTTCAATCCATAATTGAAAGAATCTTGTATGTTACATACTATAATAATACAGTGCTTAGGAAGGTTGGGAGGCTTTTTTCCACTGTTACAACGTGACAGTAACGATTTTTTTTTTTCTCTCTTTAGGGAAATTTAAATATTGCAACAGAAACCTGAACTGAGGTGTGATCCTGAAGTTGAAACAGCTAATACAGCAAAGGGAGCATCTGTTCATTTTTGGACAACGTTGTCAAGACTTAAAATAGGATAAAGGAACTAACCCTGTAACTTTCTTGATTAAAAAAAAAAACTTTATTTTTCAGTAGTGGAATGCTGCAGAACTTTTTTACAGTTTTAATAATTGCTTTTGAAGTACAGTATTCAACTGAAACATTGTAGTATGTACCTTTAGTTCCTTTTACATACCAGTCTCAAGTAAAGAAGTCATTGAAGGGAGTCTTATTTATTGAATACCTTTTCTCTAAGCATGATGTTACAGATGGAACTTGAGTTGTTATATCCGGAGGTTTATATGTTGGAAGTTTATTGCTTATGTAATAAAAAAAAAGGAAAAAAAAAAAGTGCCTGAATTGTTTGGTAATAGCACATTAGCTCAGGATTTTCCAAGTAATGACCTTTTAGGTTGTGCAATAGATTTTTACACCTCCTGTTCATGTTCATTTCCGTAAAACCGTATTTGTATTACTTTATTTTAGTTGAATAATATACTTGGGGTTTCTGATGTGTATATACATTTGTAAATTGTTAGAATGTTGGGACAACTTTCAGTATTTGATTAAAATGAATGGTAACAGGCAGGTATGTAATGTACTGTAGCAGTAGCTTATAACTGCACTGAAAGCATGCTTGGGTTTGTTAGAGGATTAGTTGGTCTGTATTCAAAATTATTCTGTCTCATTATATTTTGGTGTATGACATTCTTGACCAAGCCACGTGTTCGCTAATCTTTTTCGTCATAAATGACTTGGTGATTTCCTGGATTCTGAAATTGGGGCCTGAAGTGTTTAATTACAAGAAAAACAAAAAAAGTAAGTTTTTATAAGCATGTCTTCTAACAAAGCTGTTCATAATTGAAACTGCTTTAATGCAGATAGCTTGTAATTTTGTTCAAAATCCCAGTAATTCTCTGAACTTTACCATACTGCAATATTGTTACGCTGTGTGCAAAACTCAAATAGCCAGACATGTTTTATAAGCAGCTATAAACAATGCTGTGTTTATTTCCTGATCATAGCCTTGCCTTAATATACCATAGGGATGTGTGTACGTATTACAGGTTTGTTGGACTTTTTATTGCCAGTAAATTAAAGATGCCTAGCAAGTGGTTTTCAGAGATGTTCTTATTTGAGAATTAAGTTATTCTCCATATCCACAGTGTATGCAGGCTAATGTATTTCCATCATTTCCAAGACAGCGTTAGCCATACAGAATGCAGGCCGGTCTCTGTTGTGGACAGTAGATCAGAATTCTTATACTGGGTAGAGTATGTTCAGAGAAAAGGAAATCTGTTTTTTGGGTGGGAAGTCAAGATGTGATTTCTGCATTCTTTTTTGTGATGTTTTTTCGACAATGCCTGCAGTAGAGAGACTATTTGAAAGTATAGGTATGGCTCAGAACAGCTAAAATAGTGTTACTTAAAATCTTCAGTTCATGGAGCGCACTGCTTAATGTTCATAGAGAATAAGCAGGCAGAAAGTGTGCCACATTCATTGATGTTATGGTCGTTCCACAATGACACCAGATGGTTTGTTTCTAAAACCCAAGATTCAGCTAGTTTTTCGGTAACATTGACAGGCACACACAGAATGGGAAGCTAAAGGAAAGAAATTCTTTGGTCAAATAGAGGCAGGCAACTTTCTACACACAGGAAAATGTTTACTTATGTTTTGGTGATGAATCTGGCGAAATCATCCTGTGTAAGTTTAGGAGATGAAAATGAGGAATTGAAACAACAGGTTAAGTGAGTCGACCCAAAGCGAATGTGGAGTAGCTGGAGCTGAGCAGGCAGCTGGCAGGCGAGTGCTGCAGATGAGGGCAGGCTTATCCTCCAGCCCACAAGCTACTCGCACTGCTACTGAATGTGCTAAAGCACTGTAAAACACCTAAGAAGTAAAACCGTATATGACATAGGACAAACTACTGAAGCTATATTGTCTTATTCAACAGGATACTACTGTTTCTGTAAGCTTCCTGCAGTGTTCTTATTAAAGCCTGAAGAGAACTCGTTGTTGAGCAAATGGGAAAAGTGGATACGTGAAGAAACTTCTGACGTGGCAGTCTTGCTAACGCTGTTTGGAAGTAATGCTGAAGTAGCCAGACTTCAGTCAGTTAAATGCTGCTTTACTGGGTTGAAAGTCTGACTGGTTCCTCTGGTTTTGTGCTTTCTTATTTTACCTGTGCATGACTAGGTATCTCTTAATTTGTTTTCTACTTTAACAGTTTAGCTTTGTTTGTTTTGTATTTCTACAGTTGTGAGCAACATATTACGAACATGGTATTTTTAGCATGTTTACTGACCGATTTTTTTTTTTTTTTTTTTAATCATTATTTTCCTCCCCCTTGCCCAACCTTGGTCTCAAGCTGAATGTCGTATGATGAAATGTAGTCATTGTTTCAGTTGCTTTAGCTTTTATTAAAGGTGATACATTTGCTCAGATCACATTCTTTACTGATAACTTTACTAATTTAGGATTTTGTCATGGTAAAACTCCCTATATTTTATAAAATTCATACAGAAATTCAATTCTGTGACTGGCTTAGGTGCTAGCACCATCTACTCTGTTACCTGGTGTGAGACATTGCTGTGTATATTTCTCTTTGTGAATTACAGAGACTTGTGTCTATATACTCATACACAAATCAGCTTATTTATTCTTCTAGCACAGGAAAGTTCTGTTGTACTGGAATATAATGTTTTGTTGAGAACAATGTATTGAAGTTACTGATTGGGTTGTGAAGGCACAAGAAAAAGTCTTAAGTAGAAGAAAGGTCTTGAATAACTTGAATAACTTGGTGCCTTTCTGTATTGTGACTGCATTGTGGAAAACACCTGTACAAAGACTTAAGTAATATCCTGATTATTGCATTGTTTCTAATGAGAGCATGGACTCATAACAGTTGTTAAAATAACCACTTACTTTAAATACGTGTGTAAAGCCTCAGAAGGAAAAGAGCATTTCTTGTATTAGTAAAGTCTGTCACTGCATTTGCATTGGAAGGGCAAGTTAAAAATGTGATTGTCTAAGAGCTTTCGAGCTTTCTATTTTACACTTTGAAAATATAAATGTGAATTGCCTTTCTTTTGGTTGACTTGAAATGACTGTTAAATGCTTATGTCATTCTCAATTGTTCACATGTAAAATTGTTTTTTTAATTGCTATCCAAAATGCAATGGATTTAATATGACTAGAGTCTTCCTTATATGTGTCTGAAATAATAAGTTGTTGTGAAGTTAGCATTTATATTGCTGATCCATTTAATGTCTACGTAGATTAGTTAGAATCCTCATTTTAAACTTTGTGATGATTGAGTTCACGAGGTTAACGAAATTCTGGGGCTAGTAAGAAGCAACATATTGCAGGGCTTCTACAAGCCTGTCTTAACTCCAATAATTGCTTACATGTTTAAAATCACCTTACCTGATGGATTTAGGTGGTCTCGAGACCTGGATGTAACTCTCAACTCAGGTAACTGATAGCAGAGGATGGGAGTAAATTCAGCTGATCTCCAGTTGTGATACGTGTTTACCTGCTGCTTCTCTCCCAGGGCCTCAGGGTGAAATGCTGAATTTTCTTTATATGAACTTAGTTGCTTTAAAAACAAAAAAAACAAACCCAAGATTACGCTTTTGTGGCATTAAAAAGGCAGGGTTCTCAACTTGCTTGTTATGCATTGGAAAGTCATTTTCTGCCGTGTCTTGGAAATGGATAGTAAGAGTTGCTCGGAGAAGATGATTAAAGATTATAGCAAAGAGAGACTTGATTTCTCAGTATTCACCTTAGAAGACTGTATATTGAGGGAGATCTTTAATTTCCTTGCTTTCTGAAGGGATCTCTTCCCATGCTGTGTAGAAACATGCCTCTTGCCTTTCTTTAAGCATCTGAACAGCCATCTGCAAATTTCTCTACGGGAGAGCTCTCTAAAAGAAAAACTTCAGACTTGCATCCTAATGAATCTTGAGGAGGAGAAAAAAAAAAAAAAAGATGTTTCTGCACATAACTCTGGCCCTTGACAGACTTCATTCCGCTGCTGCAGGATTTGAAGATAGGAGGTTCTTCAGCCTCCTTACGAAGGAAAAAAAAAGAAAAACCAACAATAAAAGCCATTTCAAGGTCTTTGAAAGCCTACTTGTAACACTTGACTTCTTAATAGACCTTAAGGACAGTGATGAACATTTAAGTGTGTTCTGTTTCAAGCTTGGTGAGCATAAATTTTCAGTGTTAAGGTCAGAGAAAACTGATGTCATAACACCTGCCCCTTCCTTCCATACCTGACGGTTTTTGTTGTTGGAGGGTTTTTTGAGTAGGTATTTAGCCATGTGGTTTAATAGCTCAGTGCTGCCTGCCACTTTAATACAGTTTTCTTCTAAGCAGTCTAAATCTCATGTCTTTTTAATATTTCATTTTCTGTAAATAATGTAGTAGATGGCTTTTATTTCGTGACTGCGTTCTCTTATGTCTTTATTGTTGAGGGAAGAGACAGGGTGGAAACAGTTGTTGTTTGAGTACACTCTTAATGGAAATAAAAAAAAAAAAGCCTCATTGTTTTGTTTTAAGAATAGCAGGATTTTTTGTTTCCCCCCAATTGAATGAGGGTGTGGACTAATGTCCAGTTCTAAGAAATACATTAATGACCTTATTTATACTGTAGTTTCATAAGGACCATCTACAGTCTGTATGTGCACATTTATGTACACATGCAAACACCATATTAGAAACCTTTAATGTAGTTATTTCTAAGTGTGGATAAGAAATGACATTTCTAAACTACTGAAGATGGAGTTAAGTGCAAACGCATTTTAAGTCTGTAGGCTTTGGAGTCCACAACGGTGCTTTTGACAATGTTATCCCATATCTAAAAGTCTCATTCATAAGTATATATTAAGATGTAGGTATGTTTATATGTATGTTTAACATAGTTTATATAAAATCAATGTAAATTTTGTTTCTACAGACAATAAATGTTTTAACAAAAATTTTACTTATAAATAATTAAGTGATTTGATTCGGTAGTTATTAATATTTGGTGTCATGTTCAGATTATTTTACTTGATCTGTATAGCCACTGATTTTTTTCTCGTATATAACTGTTGCTTCTATAACTTCATTTATTGCTTCTTTTTGAGATTGAAGTATTGATGTACCTTCTAGGCACACTTTTTTGGCTAAAAGAATCTTTCCAGAGACAAAATACTATTATCCCTTCATTACTAGCACAAAACAGACGATGTAGAAAAGGAACTTTGAAAAGCAGGTATGTCCATCTCCTCCATGGCATTCAAAATCCTTAGCACCTCTACCAAACTCTGATTCTCACCCTATGAAGGGGCAGCATCGAGGAAGGCACACGTTTGCTTGGCTAACTTTACCAAAATTTCCATTTAATAGAATAGTATGAGGTGAGAACGACCGTGTTAGTTTAATATTAAGATCCCATAATGGGTGCTCTCCATGCTTCACATGAGGTGAAGCTAGGAGAATACACTTGCAGTGATTAATTTAAAGGAGATGAGTTAACTTTCCCCATTATTTACTTAAATTTGCTGTAATCTAGATGTCAGTCTTCACTGTACACAAGTACTTTTGGGTTTTTTTTAAAAAATTTCTCCTAATCTGGTGATTATCCTTTAACTGGATAGTACAGCAAAACCCTAAAAGTTTTTCAGGTCATAGAGGTCAAATGCCCTCATGCAACAAAGAATTGTGGATAACAGAAACCAGCATTGTTTTATTAAGGTGTGTATGAATAAATGAATGTTGGCTTTCTGCTAGTGTGTTGACTGGCTAAAAGATGGTCTGCATGTGTATGAAGATAAAATTAATTTTTTTGTTGTTTTCCCCCTCTGCTTCCAGTCGTGGAAGTCCATCAGTAGTTTGTGCTTGGTGTCCCAGTGTTCCTGAAAATAATCCTGAGATTATTAAGTCTTTGAACCTTTCAGTGAAAAAGCTGGAGGCTGTCTACACCTACATCCAGCCTATTTCCATTGCATTCCTTTTCACAGTTGAACTTACTTTCCTGTTTCAGTTATGTTTAAAAACTTTTTGAAAAGCTGCATATTATGTCTGTGAAGGTTTTTGGGATATCACAGTAACTAATTTTTCACAAAAGACTAGAATTAGACAAACTTCTTTAATCCTGATATTCCATTGCTGCTATAACATGTAAATAAGTAACTTTAAAAAAAAAAATAGTACATCAAGAATTAGGATTTGAGTCTAAATTATTAATCCTCTAATTGGTTAAACTCTAATTTTCTCTTGAACATTTCACCACTGTCACAATTCCAAAAATATGGATTTTCACAGACAAGAGGCCAGATGCTACCTGGAAAGACTTTCTACCCTGAAAAAAACTTTTCTGAAAAAGCTCTGTTGTACTTGAGTGGGAGCAAGGGGACGAGAAGTACAAAAACCTTATCCTGTGTGTTACTTTCAGTTTTCTGTCTTTATACCCAAAATAATTACCGGAGGTTAGAACAGGCTTTTTTTTTTGCTTAACCTTTTGTTAACTTTGAAGGTGCTTGTGCTGTAACATGCTACTTATCTTTATTGTTTATACCAGATTACATAGTTTTTAATCTGCTATTCCCTTTGGTTGCTACTGTGATGGGCTTTTTTTCCAGCGGTCTTTACCTGGGTGAAGATTTTGCCTGTGAATAAGGCCTCATGAGGTGCCTTTTTGTCCAGAAATGGTACAGATCTGGGTGAACTGCTCTCCCTTTCGCTCAGTTTTATCATAGCGTGCATTTCACATCTTCTTGCCATACCTGAAAAGAACAAGCAGCTGCTCATGTGCCACTCCGTTTCCCCCCCCCTCCCCCCGAAACACCACCTCTACCAAAGAATCCACCTTTCATCTCATCTTTTTGTCTTTCTACCTCTTTTTCCTTCCATCCCGGCTTCCTGAGCCAAGAGCGTAAAGGGTTGGGGAGGGGGGAGGGAAGCATTGGGGGTCCCGGCGGTGCGGCCCGGGCTGCCACCCCCGCTCCCCCCTCACCCCCCCGCTTCCCTCAGGGCCGAGGACGGGGGGAGATGAGGGGCACCC